CATCCCAGCCACGAGACAAAAAGCCAATGGTTGCTTGAGCTGCTGGGGAGAGGGAGGGAGGGGACACAGATGGGGGCAAACAGAGAGTAGGAGCAGTAGGGAGGGAGGAGATGAAAAAGGAAAGGAAAGGAAGGGAAGGGAAGGGAGGAAGGAAGGAAGGAAGGAAGGAATCCCTAGTTGGAGGGAAGGGAGGGGAATAAATGGATAACCCAGTCAGAACAAATCTCCTAGATCAGACTGTCCCATAGAACTGAATCAATTGTCTGTGGGAAGCCCACCAAAGCAGAACCTGTAGGCCATAGCACCCCTGCACAGTGGTTCTCTAATAACTGGGTTTGTGGGTATGAAGAGACAATATGAAGTGTCTTTAGCTCCATGCACTTTTAGATTCAACCACCATGTCTGATTTTATAGGAGGTGGGAAGGCTTTCCATTCCTAACACAAAAGTTGTCTGACTCAAATTCACAGCTTTTAAAAATGTACCGATTCTATCCTGAAAATTTCTTATGAGGTGCATCCTGTTTTTTTCCCCAGCAGGTGTCAGCATCTTCGATCTTCTGTAGGATTAGAAGAGAAGCAGGGTCAGGCCTGGCTAATACTTGGATGGGAGACCTCCAAGAAATCAAGGGCCATGGGGTAGCCTGGGGATGTGAAAAGCACTCCAGAAGAAGGCAAGGGATTGCCTTCTCTGTCGCTGCTGAGAAAACTACATGGATGATGTGTCCATGCAGTCACCCAGAGTTGAGCTTGGCTTGAAGGCAACTTAACTTTATATCCTATTTAACTAAAGAAAAGCACTGTTGAAACTTAGAGTTGAATGGGAAGTATAATATGGTGAGGCTGCAGAAAATCAAATCCTTAGGAATCTGGGGGATTGGAGTAGTACCAGTGCTATGGTTTTAATACATACTAAGATTGTTGTCACTATTCATATCCTTCCTACCCTCCAAGGAGATAAAGCTAATATAAATAGTTTCTACCTCCTTCTGCGAAGTATATTAAACTGAGTGACAGTGAGTAGCCCAAAATCACCCAGTGAGCTTAATGGCTGAGTGAGGATTTGATCCTTGATCTCCAGAATCCTAGTCCAGTACTCTCACCACCCTATTTCTTTGACTCAGTATGTAGTGATAGCCACATCTTCACCCAATTTCATTCATAATTGGGGCAGGCTTTTCTATTATGGTATACCATAAGTGTGATGAAGAAGAAAGGTTGGGCTCATTTCCTTTTCAAGTAAATGCTGGGTGGGGCTAGTTCCAGAGTAGCGATGTTTGCTCATCTATGGAATTTTACCTGAAAGCTAACTTTTTCTCCTATTCACCATTCAGATCTGAGGATTTGCTTTGACTTATTTAAAAACAGCAAAGTTTTGAATTCTGAAAGCTAGCTAACATTTGGGATGTGGAACGCATTGGACTACAAGTTCTGTCACCTCCAGCCAGCAGGGCAAAAGCCCCTGACTGGGGGGAATGGGATTTGCAGTTCAATCCTTTTTGGAGAATGCCAGGTTGGCAAACGCTGTTTTAAAATAAGCCTATTTGGCTGTGGTCCGCCTAAGGTGGAATTAGCCATTACAGTCAGGAGTGTGCCAAGGAAGAAGAAAAGGAGAGAAAATAAGTGCCAGTTAAAAGCACTGAATCTGAACCACTGTACATCTCCCCATCTGATTGCTTAGACCAGGAACAGCTGCTAGACTACAGAGTGAGTGAGTCTTGCTGCAGCCTACTCAAAGAAGTGAATAACAATGAATGGGGAGATGGAGTTCCAGAAAGGCATTGAATTATCTTCTGAAAAATGTCCAAAGCGGTATAACTGGAGGAGAATGAATGGTATGTCCTGAAAAAAAGTGCAGATGGCCATCATCAAGCCCAACAGGCCTGTACTGCTCACTCACACATCGCACAGGGCATTTGTAGGGCTGCCAAGACTAGCTGCCAAGGAGCTCCTATGCCTGTAATAGCTGTTCTGAAATACATTCCACCAGGTGCAAATTTTTCTCAATATTGTCACATTCTGTATTACTGTGCAACTTGTAGAAAGTGCTTGGGATCATCTTTGACACAGAACTGCTATAGAAAATGGAGCCCCTGCTGAGGTGGATTTCCCTCTCCATATTATATTGTTGCACACATTGGCATTGGTGGAAAAATGCACAACTGAATGGCATTCCTGTATGTCTAAGTGTGGTAAGAAACATTTGGGGACCTCCAATGCTATATTTTTGCTAACCCCAAATATGTGTAATTAAATAAACACATTCTTCCCCAGAGTAACTTCTTCTTCCATTCCCTTCCTCCTCATTTGTTTCCTTGTGTTGATATTTAGGTGGTAGGCTCCTTGAATCTGGGACCTGGTCAGTCTTTGTAACCATATTATTATTGCTGTTATAATTGAAAAGTGTAACTTGGATGCACATACCTGGTTTTAACAGTTGGCTGTAGCTCTATCCATCTCTATCACTTCTTTTTGGCTTAGTTCTTCAAAAACTCTGCCTCAAAAAATGGCTTAGGGGGAGTGAATCTCTATCCAACACCTGTCATGAAGCCTTAACAGCAAAGTCATTTAGCTTCTCTGCAGTCTCTCCATCCTCCAGTAAATCTTTCCAGATAGCCTTATCTAATGACCTGCCTGGCCTCCTGGCTGTTTTTATCTTTGTGAGGGTCTTCTCTGATATAGAGCCCTCTAGTTGTGTTGGACTGCAATTCCTGGAATTTCCAGGCAACATAATCAATATAACATCTGGAAGTCACCATGTTGGGAAAGGCTGGCTTCATGTCTTTATCATAGAGTAGTTGAATACTTGTTTTGTTTTGCTTTACTTGTCTTATTCCTGAATTAAATGGGGTTTTCCAGATTTTTTTCTTTAATTGGGTAAAGGAAATCTTACTGTCTTTCAGAGTTGACTTGACTGTGCTCATCAGTTATGCTGGCATTGTCTTGGACTTGTTAATCCCTGTCATTTTTCTATTAGCCACCTTTCCCTTTTGTGGGAATAAAATTTGTATTATCACAATTTTAAACAACTTCTTGTTGAGATTACCTCTCTGCTTCAGCTTAGCATTAGTCCTCTTATCTTTAAGTTACCTGTTTTGAAATGAATAGATAGTGTGTGGTCACTGTTCCCAACCTGTTTGTCAAATTTAGAGTTACCTGGCCTCAAGCAGTTCCATGGGAAACCCTTCTAAGACACTGTTATTTATTTTGTCTAGGAATGTCACAATTTGAATGAATACCTGCACTTTTTGAGTAAGGTTAATATTACATTTTTATCCTTTACCTAACTTCATTTTCTTTCGTTTGTTTTTATCATTACTAGCCCTCTTGGAGTTTTGATCAGGGGAATTACAGTAATAATATGCAAGTAGTGAATTATTTTTTAAGCTGAACATTTCTACCAACTGAGATTATATGGAAGAATTTAGGAAACTTTTCCCAACCAAATCTTCTCTAGATATTTTGCAATCCTAATACATCTGCAGGACACCAGGATGAGGAACACAGTTTGGCTGATTTTGAAAAGTAAAGTAGGTTTGGACCTGATTAGTACCTGGATGAGAGATAAGCAGGAAATCCCATGGCTCTAGGCCAGTTGGTATCTGGAAGAGGGGAACAACTTGAAATGTATATCAGGTCATGATATAAGCCCCATAACTTACATACTTTGATTTAAACAATTTATATGGCCATCCATCTCAGAGCAGTGACTCTTGTGTCAGACGAAGGGATGCAATACATAATGGTAATATTTATGTTGTAACACCATTACACAGGTGTCATTTTTTCTCATTGTGGCAATGCTGTAGGATAGAGTGGGAAATCAAAATAAATCCAAGAAAGCAATGACAAATCATTTTCATATTGTTGCCAAGATCATTGTATGGTTGTGTCCATGATGCCATCGAGACTTGAGTTCAACTCAGGAAAGACTTGACTTTATCTTTCATAAAAATAGACAGATTTTTTCCTAACCTAGTGCTCTTTAGAAATGTTACGCTACAATTTTAATGTCCCATTAAATGGTGGCTATTTCATTCTGTCTGTATACTCATTGTCAAGTTCTGTTCATTTGCAATTCAAGACTTGAAATATTCCCAGTATCAGTCTTCAGAAAAATCACACCCTAAATGAAGTTCTGCTGAATTCTTACATAAGTCGAATATGTAGCATGCAACTGCCCATCTGTTTGCTTGTTTATAACAATGCAAGACTTTGGGGGCTCAGTCCTAATGGCATATGGAGTGGGAGGCCGCAGCCTGTCCATCCACCCATTTGCTTTGTGGCTCCTCCCTGGAGCTGGTTTTAAAAAATAATATATTCTTTCTCCATTGGCATCAACTGAAAGTGAGTTTTTCACATTTATTTTAATCATCTATAAGAGGGGCTCCAGTTATAA